AACAGGGATGCAGGTCACGAGGATTCGTTTAAGTGCAAAATGCTGGCATTCTCTGACTTTTCTCAAACACTTGAGATTCTCCTGTCTCACAGAGACAGTGCTTCAAGCCAAGGGCTAGCCCTGCTCAGGTGGCTCAGTTGGTTGGAGCATCGTCCCATACACCAAAAGGTTGCGGGTTCGCTTCTGATCAGGGCACACACCTAGGTTGCAGGCTCAATCTCCAGTCAGGGCGTGTATGGGAGGTAGCTGATCTCTCACATAAATGTCTCTCTCTCTCTCTCTCCCTCCCTCTCTTTCTCTTAAAAAAAAAAAATCAATAAACATAACCATGGGTAAGGATTAAAAAGAGAGAGAGAGAGAGAGAAGGCCTAAGCCTTATGTCTCCAGCTTCATTCTCCTCCTTGACATCCCTCTGACAACTGCAGTCCACCTCACAGACCTCGCGGTTTCCCTCCTCTGGGGCCTGGCCTCCAGCCTCCCTCAGTGTGGCCATCCCTCTGCTCTCTCCTTTTCCATAAACTCTCCTCGGAGCAGCCTGTCTTTCAGAAGCCTTCCTCCACCAGCTCCCAGCCCAGAGCTATTCTGGTGACTCCAGCCCTGCCTCTGTGAAGAAGACCTGGAGGAGTCTTCAAGAATATTGTTATAGCGGGTTAACAATGTAGAGAGGATGCTGCTGGAGTCAAGTGCGTTTCCTCCCTAACACCCGAGGGCTCCACACATCAACCTGCAGAAGGAACCGCGCGGAGAGGCGGCCAGTGGAGCAGCTCCAGGTGGCGGCCCTGCTGCTTCTGCAGGAGTGGGCCCGGCCTCGCGGCGGGGCTGGCAGCCCAGACAACCGGCTCTCACAGCTGGGGAGGTTTTCCTGATGTGTATCGTCTGTTCCCTTCTGTAATTCTGTCCAGCACCTCCTCAGGCTTTTTCTGAGGAATGTTAATGACAGACTTTTCTGACTAGAACTCATTTGCTAAAATACCAGGCATGGAGGGAAAGGAAAGATCACAGGCCATGGACACCCTTGGGGAGAAATTCTGAGAAGGCAAAGCAGGTTTCCTTCTATACAGATACCTCCTGGGCTTGGTTCGGGCACTTTCGGCCAGAAACAACTGCCTAAGCAAATACAAAAGAAAAGAGGTAACTGGCCACATCCCCGCCTAAAAATTGTCTAACAAAGAAGTCTGCTCTTTGCAAACTGAAAATTCTGAGTCATGTAAGGACTGTATCCTTCAGTGCTATCTAACAAAGGACTAGATCATTAGGTGTGCTTTTTTATTAATTCACTTTATTTTATTCTTTAAAATATCTTTTTATTGATTTTTTTAGAGAGAGGGGAAGGGGGAAGGAAAGAGAGAAAGAAACATCGATCAGCTGCCTCCTGCAATCCCCCACTGGGAATAGAGCCTCGACCGGGAACTGAACCGGTGACCTCTCGGTCCATGGAGCGACACTCAACCAACTGAGCCACACCAGCCGGGCTATTAATTCACTTTAATTTCTTTTTTTTTTTTTTTTAATCATCCTCACCCGAGGACATTTCTCCATTCTTTGTTCAGATAGAGTGGGAGGGAGTGAGAGAGAGAAACATCGATGTGAAAGGGACACATCGAGCGGTCGCCACCCGCACAACCAACCAGGGCCGGGGACAAACTGCAACCGAGGTACATGCCCTTAGCGGGAACTGAACCCGGGTCTCTCCGGACCGCAGGCCGATGCTCTAACCGCTGAGCCAAACCGGCCAGGGCTATTAATTCACTTTATAACTTAGTACCAGGCAGACTTTCCAATGACACTGGACAAGTGCCTGTTGTGCAATACCCAATATTAGTGGCAAGTGGTTTGTTAAAAAGAGAAAAGTCCACCTATTACTATAATTGAACGACTTAATTGTTCAAGCATTTCAGTTATATTCTCCCTGCATGCACCTGCTTTTCAAAGCAAAATACAAAAACCTGTAACACTCAATGCTTGAGGCCCAAGGTCCGCTGTGAGCTTCGCACACTTCCTAGCAGGGGAGGCTGCCTGTCCCGACAGCCTGGGCCCAGGCTGCTCACTCGCCAGCCAGCAGGGGTGCCATGCTTCTAAAGGACAAGGCAGCTACTTGGCTTTTTCTAAGGCCACAGTCCTCCAGGCCACAGACCTTAGAGCCGCTGTTCTTGTCCCTTTCTGGCCACAGAATTGCACCTCCCCCCAAAAAACTTGCAGAATCTACCCAAACCCATGATACACGAAATACCTACATACACATGTATTTGAATAAATGCTCTCAAGCTCCCGTGATGAACAACTCACTTGGGAAGGGTGTGAGGTGAGGGGAGATGGCCTCCTCCCTCCATGCTGGAAATACACATGCCCCATCTCTGGGGTGAAGGGAGGCAAGATTTTCCCTGTGGAATTTCTAGAAGCATCTATCTTTGGACAAAAGGGTATGTTCGTAAGAAACTCCAAGTGAGGGCTGCTTACACTCGTCATGGAACATAATCACTGGTAACACTCCCATATTTTCAATGGAACCAAACGAAGGTTGAGCAAGTCATAATTTAATATCTCCATATTCTAATTAAAAATCACACCTACAGCTTAGGCCTCAAATAAGTCAGTTCTTGTGTCTGTGACTTTACTGTCTCAGTGTCTTTTAAAATGTCACCAAGAGCCCTGGCCGGTTTGACTCAGCGGTTAGAGCGTCGGCCTGTGGTCCAGAGAGACTTGGGTTTAGTTCCCGCTAAGGGCACGTACCTCAGTTGCAGTTTGTCCCCAGCCCTGGTTGGGTCGTGCGGGTGGCAGCCACTTGATGTGTCCCTTTCACATGGACGTTTCTCTCTGTCTCTCTCTCTCTCCCCCTCCCACTCTATCTGAGCAAAGAATGAAAAAATGTCCTCGGGTGAGAATTTTAAAAAAAGTCAACAAGAGCCCAGCCAGTGTGGCTCAGTGGTTGAGCATCAACCCATGCACCAGGAGGTCACCGGTTCACTTCCTGGGTCAGGACACATGCCCAGGTTGTGGGCCAAATCCCCAGTGGGGGGCATGCAGGAGGTGGCCAATCAATGTTCTCTCTCATCAATATTTCTATCTCTCTCTCTCCCTCTCCCTTCCTCTAAAATCAATAAAGGAAAAAAAAAAATTAAAAATAAATAAATGTCACCAAGACGTTTTTGTCAAAGTCTTTACAGCCCACCTCTAGGTGTGCTATGAATGAGTGTCTGCCCCAGGTCAGGAGAAGAAAAGGGTTGTGAGCCAACACAAATGGAAATAAGAGTTTGGGCTGGATCATTTTTTTAAATGCGAAATCCAAAGCAATTAGGCACAATCAAATCCCAGCGAGGAAAAATAAACATCAAAAAGAGAGTCACGTTTTCACGATTCTGGCTGCTGAACAGCTTTCAATTCACCAGGGCCTAATTTCAAACGCAACCACAATGTAAAAGCATTCCTATCCTTACAATAAAGCTGAGCTAGTAGGTCCCCGTTCTGTGATTCTGAGATGCCCGTTTCTGGAACACTGCGACTGTGTTCCACTTAGCTAAGAAAGCGAGAGCTCCCGTTCAACTACAGCTTAAGCTGTAAATCCCCAGCTCCAAGAGACGTAAGCTGGGGAAAACCATGTTTAAGGATGAAATACAGTATTCTCATCTGTTAAAAAGTCAGAAAAAAATGCTGACAGATGTTAAACAGCTCCTGTGAGTGTAGACCCTAAATGCAAAGCCCATTTATACCGTCTTGTAAACACTGCCCACTGGGGTTATAAAGTGAAGTATAAACTGGCTGGCATGGTATATGGTGATGTCTTAACTATTCATTTCCTATGTCATGTCAAAAAAGCTATATTGCTTATGTGTCATTTTTTTGGTGGTAACCTAGAACAGTTCAATGCAAGTTTGAAAAATGGGGAGGTGAGTTACTATTCAGACTACCAGAACAGGCGCACATTAAATTAAGTCACAGCAGCTCTTCTATGTGAGACCAGTCTCCACCACCTTAATGCCATTCCCGTGCCAGTTCTCACCATCACACTTCACAATGAGGCAACAAACTGAACAGGTTACTCTTCCATAAAGAGAATGGGTACTTTTGGCTTCTGAGAAGAATAGAATTCCATACTGTGATTCTTATAAACATCTTTAAACCATAAATCAGGAACCACTATACTCTTATGTCAAAGGCAATTGGTAAACAATATAAACAGATATAGCCTCAGCCACATTATCAGAATGTAATCTCATAGGACAAATCTCATAGGACACACTTTGGGTCAGATTCCTTATCTTAATCCTTATGAGGATGACATCAGTTTTCCAACATGAGGGGCCCTCGACATTACTATCTTGTCAGGTTTGCCTCTCTTCAGTGGGGGTTACTAAGAGCTAATATTTGCTAAATCAAGATAATTTCAATTTTTTAACAACCCTAAAAGGCAAGTTGCCCATTTTAGTTTTGGACTCAGCAACTGTATCTATACCTAATACTACATTTTCTGTGTTTAAATAGCTTTTTCTTTTAAAATTCACATTGTTTCTGATCAGGACATTGCTAAAATCTCCAAGCCTAGACAAGAAAAGTCATGATGTCAACGTTTCAGGAATTTTCAAATCCGTTACGACCATCTAAAGTCCTCAACACACAGAATGCAGACTCTTCATCACGTTTAACAACAAAGCAAAATAAAAGGAACAGAAAAATCAACCACAGAGACACACCAACTATCTCTTCTAAAATAGAAGCCTGCCCAAGAATTTCACATCAAATGCTTAAAAAAAAAAAAAAAGTGAAGGCTTTACAACGTTTCCTTTTCAACTAGATTTCTCTAAAGCTTAATGGCAGCATTCAAAGGCAGATGAATAGGCCCGAGACAAAGGGAATTTTGCCACTCTGCAATGTTAGCTTATAATAATGCCATATACATCTCCAACCATCTATAATGAAAGCACTTTGGAGACACCAAATCTGTGAGTAACCAGGAGGCAGTGTTCTTAAAGACGGGGTCTCAGTCTAGAACCAGCCTGTCTTACCTTCTGCATGTTTGGCTTGACACAGCGAACAAAGAAAGGGTTAGAGGAGCTTAGCGTTGCCATCAAGGAATGCAGTGAGTCCTAAGAGAAAGAAAAGAAAGTATATGGTGATTTAGTCCCTTGCTATGTCATTCTTTAAATTTCTCAGCACCGTAGACACTTACCAGAAATAATAATTAAAAAAAAAAAAAAACCCCAATATAAATCAGAGGAATACTAGTTTTTATTTTTAATTATGTCATTCTAATATAAAATAAAGCAAAGATATTATAATTGTCACCAAAATTATTTCACAATGTAGGTATACACAATTTATTTATCACTTCCTTAAAACAGTTACCACTAAAAAAAAAACTTCTGTGAACGAGCAAAAATGGCATAGGGTATTTCAGTGGGTAGCACAGTAAACCTGAGATGTATGCCCTCTCCCACTAGACTTATTTCTCCTAACTCATTATTTCCATCAGAATGACAGCCTCTACCAGCATTTGGTTGATCTTTGACCTACAACCTGCACTCTTACCTTCAAATCACCAGGCAGATCAATATTCTGTAATACTACTTTCTTTTCTTTCTTAAGTTTCTTTTTATTGTGAATTTTTAACATTTATCAAAGCAGAGTATAATGACTACTCATCATCAGCTTCAGCTCACAGCTAATCCAATTTACTCTGATTCCTGTCTTCATACATACTATGCCCACTCCTTGTAGAAAAGCAAATCCAAGACACTGTGGTATTTCATCCCCCAATATTTCATATGTACTATTAATGGAAGATCATTTAAAATATATATAGATAACCATGTTCATATCATCATCCTAAAAATATTTACCATGAATTCCTTAACGTTAACATTAAAAAGTACAACTGGCCCTGGCCGGTTTGGCTCAGCGGTTAGAGCGTCCGCCTGCGGTCCAGAGAGGCCCAGGTTCGGTTCCCGCTAAGGGCATGTACCTCGGCTGCAGTTTGTCCCCGGCCCTGGTTGGTCGTGCGGGTGGCAGCCACTCGATGTGTCCCTTTCACATCGATGTTTCCCTCTCTCTCTCTTCCTCTCTCTCCCTCCCACTCTGTCTGTACAAAAAATGGAAAAATGTCCTCGGATGAGGATTAAAAAAAATAATAATAAAAAAAAAAGTACAACTGTCTGAAGTTTCATATAAAAACATTTAACTGTCACAAATTTCATTTTTAAATGCTTTGTTCTCTGAATTCAGAATACAAACAATGTTCATGTATTGTACTTGGTTGATATGTCTTGTAAGTCTCTTTTAATCCATTCGTTTCCCCTCTCCATCTCTCTTTTTCCTTCTTACAATTTTGCTGAGGAAACTGGGTTTCTGCAATACTACATTGATTAGTTACTTTTCTGCTTGGAAAGCTTTAGGGTTTTCACATGACAAAATGTCCTGGGCATTCACGGCCCTTCATGCACTGGTACCAATACGTTCATACAAGGTGAGTGGTCAGCTGGCCCATATTTATTCACAATCCTCCAGGGACAGGACTCATCACATTCCTATCTCAGGAACCCTTCCCTTGTTCTTGTCTCTACCTGGTAGGTCCACCCACTCTTTTTCATTTCCTTTATTCCTAGTCCAACTTAATTCCCAAATATACACAAAGCCTTCCAAGACAACTCCAGACAACACCAAACCAGAAAAAGAAAACTCCACTGGGAGCGTAAAAGCTGGGTTTTAGAGTCAGACAGACTTAGGTTAAATTCAAATCCTGCTCAGTCCTCAGAGGGGCTGAATGGGTCTCCATTTCCCTAAACCTGTTTCCTCATCTATAAAATGGGGACAATAATATGTACTTATAAGATTATGAGGTGAACAAGATAATGTATATTAAGTGATTAGCCCCACACCTGGCACATAATGTTTATATAATAAATGGTAGCTAGCTATTATTATTATATCCTATCTGCCCCTCATGTGATTGTGCTACCCAGCACCGCCAGCCATGTTGGGTGTATCTGGCTCATTGCCAACCACTCTGCACAACCGACCACACAGACTCCCTCCGATGCATCTCACTGGGAGTCCATGAAAGCCCCGCACAGGCAGAGGTTCTAAATGTCTGCAGACTGCTGTGGATTAAGTCAGAAAAATGGTCATCATATGCTCTACCTCTAAACCATATAAAAGGTTTCACATTTAAAATTAAAATGTTCTTTATTTCCCTGAATTCTGAACATGTCGACACAATCACTGACATTAATATTACTTAAATATGTACTTGGTGATTATTCCTAGTTATGATATTGTAAATATACCTGAGAAAAATACAAAAGAAAAATACAAAAACCCAGACATGGCAAGATATACACACTGTTTTCACATGATCATCTGAATACAAATCAGAGTGATCCCACATGGCCAAACACAATCCCACATGGCGATTCTTAAGAACTGCTATTTCATACTCTTAGAATAAGCAACTATTTACTTTTAACAACAACAACAACAAAAAAAAAACCTACATATTTTCATCTGGCTCAGAAAAAAGTATATTTTAGTTCTGGTTTAAAGTGTGATATAAAAAAAACAAAAAACACGCTCATGGAGCTCTAGTTCCTAACTCCTGTTTTCAATTCCTAAATCACAGTATTGATGAACTCACGAAAGCCCACAGCAGAGACTAACCTTGAACTGGGAGCTGACCGTGGGTCGCCGGTGTTTACTTCCACACTTCAAGGTATCCTGGTTGTTGCGGCTTGAAACGTGTTCAAATAGGTCATAGATGAAGTCGAAGCTGTGAGAGCAAAGAGCAGAGGACCGTGAGGGGCACACACCCAATTATTAGGTGCTAGATTACTGTAATTATAATGCATTTTCCCACTGACAGTAACACACGGAGGCCTGGAAGAGCTAAGATAGCTTCCAAAGATTTCAAACCAACCACTGCCAAAGAGCATTAGGCATTGGGGGGGGAAAAAAAAAAGTGGCCGCCTTCAGAGCACTAGTCTCGCAGAAGAAGGGTGGATTGTGGTGGAAGTGACGGACAGCCCAGGGTGACATGCCAGTGGAGTGCTGTGCTTTCCAGAGCTCCACCTAAACTTCTGCAGCCTTGATTCCCCTGCCTGTAGGAGGGATGTATTTGTTCTGCTTATCTCACAGTGTTACAATACCCAATCAGTTAACAAATGGAAAGGTGCTAACTCTAGAGTGAAGCAGACTGGGGTTCAAATCCTGCCTCCGCTACTTCCTGGGCAGGATACCTGGCTCCCTCCAGACCTCAGTATTTCCATCTGGAAAATGGGAATAATTTTAGAATATATCTCATAATTCTGGGGTGAGAATAAAATGAGAAAATGTACAAAAGGCTGAGCAGGGTGCCCGGCACATGGGAGGTACTGATGTTAGTAGCTGTTACTATTACTAAAAAGTTGTAAAGAATTCATTGCCCCTACTAAGACAGTAAAAGACTTCTCAATAACTTCTTTTTTTTTTTAATCCTCACTCGAGGATATTTTTCCACTTATCTTCAGATAGAGTGGTAGGAAGCGGGGAGGGGGGTAGAGACATCAATGTGAGAGAGACATCAACTTGTTGCCTCCAGCATGACCCCATTCAGGGCTGGGGACGAAATGCAACTGAGGGACGTGCCCTTCACTGGAATCGAACCCGCAACTCTTTGGTCCTCGGGCCAATGCTCTAACCGCTGAGCCAAACTGGTCAGGGCTGAATAACTTCTTTTTATCTCCCTTGCACGAAGACGTTATGAGCTATAACATGGCGAGTGGTTTGGTGGCTTCACTGAGACCAGGACATTTGGGGACAACGTGCGGGCATCCACACCTCCCAAGGCACTGCCAGTGCTTCCCCTGTCCCTTCTCACTCTGCCCCAACCGCTGTTCGATTCTGTCCCAGGGTGCTGTTGCATGCTTGCTCTTTGAAGTTCCCCAACAGTGCTTTGAGCGCTATGGAAAAAAGCTTTGGTGCCATTAAAATGTCACAGATGTCAAAGGTGAAAGAGCAGAGTGAGCAAACAGCCCAAGCCCCTCATTGGCAGAGAGAAACCTGGGGCTGAAACAAAGTTTTTTACTCCAATTACAAATCTACTTCACACGTGAAAGCGAAATGCCATCTTGCCTGTGAGCTTTTCAATATAACGAAATGCTTGTATTTAACATCAAGACACTGCTTTTATTTAAAGGTATCACTTTAAATCTAATAACTAAGAAAGTCTTCGTTAGATAACGTGCTACAGCATTTTTAAAGGTCTAAAAACTCATCTAAAAATAAAAATGGATATTGTTGTAAACAGGGAATTTTCAGATTAGAGAGTTAAAGTACATCTAAAGATTGAAACTTCCAATTCTGAGCTTCTAAGCTGACACTTCAGATGGGCTCCCTTTAGCTAATAGCTATCTAAGTCACAGGGTGGCCACCTGGCCTTGACATTCCTAAAAGTATTACAACTTTTAAATAATTGGGCTACTTTCCTTCCTTACATATTAAAAATATATTTCTGTTATAGATTCACTCTGGATCTGACACAGGAATTGAAAGCTTTAACGCAGGGTTATCCCCCCCCCCCCACAAAGCCTCATAGTTTAATACACATCAATAGCTAATCAACTATTGATTTAATGGTATGAATTTATAATTCATGAATGAATAACTGAATGTGTGATAAGTTTATAATTTTAGCTGTATTAACACCTGTTTCTCTCTCTTGACAGCCTTTATACTAACCAGAGACATAGAGAGCCTACAAATCCAAGGATGAGATCAATGTAACCACAGCTCTAAGCTTGTCATTAAGAATGTCGGTCATACTGGTTAGATCTTGGGTTCTTGAGGCGAGCCGACTGATCAGCACTAGTGGGATACTGGGCAAGTCATTTAATTGCTCCAAGTCTGTGTCCTCATCTGCATAACAGGATTGATAATAGTATCTAATTCGTGGATCTGTTGTTCTTATAGCACCTCATTAAATTGTAGTCATGGCTATTTGCATATTTTATATCTCTTGGTCATTTATTGATGAAATATTGCCCAGGGAAGAAGATAATAAAGTTGCTTCTATATTAATTTTTTCTATATTGGTAAATTCAAAGCATTTGTGCAAATATTACTTTGCTTGCTAATGACATCTTAGGGAAGAGACTCACATACCGGCTTTCCCTTAGCAAGTTGAGAAGATCATCTCTGAAGGTGTCTCTGTTCTTCTCCAAGATGCCCCGGACATCATACTGCACCTGGTTTTAAGAAAATAAATGTGAGACGGTAGAATTGATCAAAAGAGTCATTTCAGGTCATAAGCATGGAGACTCCCTTTAAGATAGACCCATGAAAAGAAGTCATTTCAATGTATTTATGACTGGATTCTGAAAGTACTACTTCTCTAAATACCAAATGGGCGAAGGCCAAGAAGGATCTTAATTAAGAAGTTACCTCTCCAGCATAGTGTTTCACTCCAAAATTGTTGACGGCGACTCTGGGCTTCACGTAAAAGTGGTTATTCTAATAAAAAAAAACAAAACACATATAAATGCCTGCTTTTACTTACTGATTTCCACTGACTTTCAGAGAAAAGTACAATAGACAGTGAAAACAATGTCAAAACCAGTCATATGGGAGACATAGCTGGTGATGCTTGTACATGAAAACCATGTGCCTCTTGGTGTTATTACCACAGAATTCTATACTCATAAACTAAACATGGGCATACCCTGACAAATGGTCCCCAATCTATCTCTTTGGCTCACTTTAACTTAGTTCTAGAAATCAAATAAGAGCTCCTTTAGTTTGAGATTTTTTTTAAAAAAATCAAATGTGGGAGGCATGGGGGGCAACGGCACTGAAATGTGTCCCATGCAGTCTAATCTGCAGATGTGCTATCCAGACAAAGCTAACAATTGGCAGGTCTTGACATACAGCATGTTGATTGTGTAGCTTCTCCAATAGCGTGCTATCCGTGGCTTGAGGAAAATGGCTTTCTTCATTGATAAGAGCCAGGAGGCCGAGTTTCTAGAAGAGAGAAAAAAGGTTAAATGAATTAAAAGTTGACCGTTTGCTTCAAAATATTTTAGAGTTCCTTTGCTCTCTACTGTCTAGCAAATACGAGAAAAGGCAGAGCAATTTCTTAGATTGAAAACATTCAGAATACTATTATCAAGAAATCTAATAAATTTAAATTCCACATAGATATAAAAAATAATACTGAACCCACCACAATTTCATGGACAAAAAAACTTTTACAGTGGGCCAGTCTACTATGGGTACTGGCAAGGCCTTGGATGCTGACTGAAAATCTAAGTGAAGCAGATCTGCACGCTGCTGATCCTAAAATACTGCATTCAAGGAGACAATAGTCCTAAAGCAGCCAAGTATTTAAATTCAACCTTGCACATTTACATTTACATTTCCAAATGGTCCATTGTGTTCTAAACATTCACATCTTTGATGTGCGTGTTCACACAAGCTATTTCGTTCCCATAAATATGAATCAGCCCAGCTGGACACCCTTGGGACTAAAACAACTCTTCAACAATACATTACCTTCTCGATCAAGTCCAGGCATTCTCCATTGTCTATCCAGTCAATATCTTCCCACACTAATCCTTCCCTGTAGAAAGATGAAAAAGGGCTGCGTTATAGTAACATATAGCTTTCTAATTTAGTGGCTGACTTTCTTTTTAATTGAAATAGAATCCCATGAGTGTTTACCTGCTATATTCCAGTTGTTCTAAAGAAAAAATATGCTTGTTGAAATATTCCTGAAGTTTCTCATTTGCATAGTTTATATTGAACTGCTCAAAGTGATTAACCTAAGGGAAAAAAACATTCAAAAAGTATCTTTAGTGCCCTCACCATTATATATAAAGATGAAAGCGGGAAAAAAATCTGCACAGAAAAACATTAGTGCTTGTTACAAAAGTTTTGTTGAAGATCAGCCAAGAAGTGGGTCGAAAAGAATTCACGTGTCCCACCCATTGGAGGCATACCTCAAAGTTTTCAAATCCGAAGATGTCAAGAATGCCGATAGATTTGAAGTCGTCGCTGCCTTTGATCCTGCTGTTGATCTTCCTGATCACCCACTCAAAGCAGCGTGCATAAAGTGCCATGGCCAGGGAGTCTCTGCTATCTACCGCCTGAGGAGGGGAGGGGACGTGGTCACAGTTTCCCACTGAGAAAGGGGTGGTCCAGGCAGGCAGGTCCACCCCAACCCTCTCAGGAGTCCTCGGGAGACACGTGCTAAACAGGGGTAGCAGCTGTGCACCCAGTGTCAAGGAGCTCAATACCATCTAGGAAAGCACAGACTTGAAAAGATACACTAGGGCTTGCTTAGTACTTTGCAGCAGGGGTCACCTTTACATATCAGGCTCCAAAGTCAGCCTTATATGTTGAGTTAAGGATGAGAATCTGAGCAAATTTTATATGGTTTAAAACAATAATTAACACTGAGTGCTTTCCTTTTTATCTTCTCCTACTTTACTTTGTACACATAAAAGTTTTCTTCATAGGATATGGTTAGCTTTTTATTTTTTATAGTTTATTGATTTTGAGAGAGAGAGGAAGGGTGAGAGAAGGAGAAACATGGATGTGACAGCATAATATCAATCGGTGCCTCCTGCACAACCCCCACTAGGGATCAAGCCTACAACCTGGGCATGTGCCCTGCCCCAGAATTGAACCAGCAACCTTTCGGTGCACAGGACGATGTCCAACTAACTAAGCCACACCAGCCAGGGCAAAGTTAGCATTTTTTCACTTATCTAAACAAGAAACAGAGATTATATGGGCTACAGCATATAACTTGCTCAAGGCAGTAGCAGGGTCAAAATAAGTAGTACAACATACTGTTGCATTGTTTTCACGTGTAATAATGTATTATAGTTAATGTTTATTTAGTTCTTATTCTGTGCCAATCATTAAGTACTTAGTTTTCTTATTATTATCTTTACAAGAATCCTCTGAATTAGGTATGATAATTATCTTTGTCTTATAGAAGAGGAAACTGAGGCACAGTGAACAAATATCCCAAGAACAGAGAGTAAAAGGTGGAAAAGTCAGGACCCAAACACAGGCCCTCTGCACCAGACCCAACCCTCTTAAAGACTCAGCTACACTGTCTCTTAGACACAATTCAACAATTTTATCTCAACAGACATCCTCAACGGGGAAATCTTTGTTTTGATTGTGAGCCACAGTTACTCGTCTGAATCAAAGCCATGGATCTGAAAAGCCAGGAGTGTCATTTCAAACAAGCTTTGATAGCAAAGCTCATGTACCTGTTGAACGTTGAGAGGTGTGAGGATCTCTTCCCCCCTGAGGAACATCGATCTCTGGGTCAGAGCGTCCGTGAGCTGCGTTGGGTCCAGCCCAAGTAACTCGGCAGACCTCCCCAAGGCTGGAAAGGAAGAACAGGCAAGCGTGGACCCCCAGCCCCGAGAAGGACCAGCCCACGGGACCCCAGTGGGTTCAAAGCTAACCACACACAGCAGCACATTAAAGCGGAAAACTTTCCTAGATCCCTCAGGCAGAATTTAGGGAATACACATTTTATTGGTAAGTCATTCACTCCTTTATCGAGTCCGAAGTTAATAGCAAAGAACCTGGTGTAGTCCAAGGACCCCATGATGAGGGGGCTTTCCTAAGACCCCGTCACAGGTTTGTGAAGTCATAACTATTTTCAATAATGATACTAAGATGTTATTAACTTTTTTATTCTGTCTCTCACCAGCATACAGATGCTTTTTCCAGTGGCTACGTGACCGGAGGTATCTTGACAAAATAAATGCAAAAGCAGATATGAGAATCTAGCTGTCCTCCATTACATTAAAGAAACTTGCAAAAATGTAAGATGTTACTATTCCCACTGGGTTTGAAAAAAATCTTAAATAAAAATACGTATTATATTTAATAGGCAATGGGTTTATTATGGCTATTTTGGAGTGAATTTTTTTAAATGCCTGTTTTAATTCCTAATGTTATAAACATCAACAGGTAAGACTCACACCTGTTTTTAAAAGCTCTTTAGGGTTCTCCACGATGTTATGATGACGGCGAGGCACCGGGACCAAACGTTCAGAGCTCCTGCCTGCTCCCTGGGCTCCTCTGGACCCTTTGCCTTGAACTCATCAAGTCCCCAGCCTCCACGCCCTCACACACTGCTTCCACCAGGATAGTTTAAAAATAAAAGCATAAACCACTCCAGGAAAACGACAACAGACATAGCTGTGTGCATTAACTCATTTAATCTTGGCAACATATCTCGGAGGCACTTTACCGACAAGAAGTTGCCAGTGCTGAGGGGATACGTAACACAGGAAATAGCCTGAGCTGCGGGCTGCGGCCCAAGCATTCTGGCTAGAAAACTCGCAGTTCTACTAACCACGGAAAACTATGGCAACACTATCCCACCCCCACCCCGACCCAGAACAGTTCCTACACCTCATCCTGGTACTCAGATTCCCCTCATTCCGCCCGTGGGCCTTCTTTCTCAGTGGGAACAAGAACACGGCCACCATCCCATTCTGTAATAAGGTCTCATGTTCTGACCCTTTATCTGCTGACAGTTCACACCAGGTGCCAGTTCACACCAGGTACAAAGTGCTGTGGATCTTTATTTCAGGGGTCAGAAAGTTCTTTCTGTAAATGGCCAGATAGTAACTCTTTTGAGTTTAAGTTTCCTAGGAGGAGAAAGCCAAGGAAGGAGGGAGAGGCAGGCAGGGAGGGGCACTCTTACCCGTTTTGAAGGAGACCTGTGCCCCGCCAGCAGTGATAAATTCTATGTTCCCGAGATGCAGTATGCCCGCAAGCAACCTCAAAATCTCCCGGACTTCCTCCTTACTAAACTGCATTACGTCCATGGCTGTCTGGAAGATAAGTGACACGTTTAATTGTTTTTCATGTTGTTGTGTTTTTTTCAAATTAAAGAAAATTAAAAAAAAAAAAAAAAAAAAAAGCTCATTGCTCAATAAAATAATTCGATATTGTTCTAAAAGGCAAGAAAAGAAGAAAGAGATGCATGGCCACTTTTAAATGACAAAGACTTGACACAGGTACACATAAAAGAACATGATGTTGAGAACTGTAGCATGTTGAGAACCCAATCGATGAAATAAAAATGAAATCTGCCTGATGGGCAAGCCTCCTAGTTATACTACAAAAAAATTGCCTAAGAGAGTCACAATAATAATGGTGACAAAGAAATACTTTTTTTCTACAAATATCAAAGCATAATGGAATATTTTCTTACACATAAAAAATGGGGGCGGGGGGCAATTTGGTGGAGGTAGGACTGCATTTGGGTCCTCCAGGGTAAGCTCTGGGGCTGTCTCCATGCTAAATGCAGCAAGGACTCACAGAACCGGAGTAAAACTCTGGCCGGAACTCTGCAGGTGGGAGAGACTTTGGATCCTTTTATAACAGATACTGATGGAACTATGAATGGACCTGAGTCTGTCTCCCCAGGACATTCATCACGTCTCTAGTTTTCATTTCTCCAAAGGGTTTTGAAGGTCCTGTCTTGACCTCTGGGTAGTAAATGGAACTTAACATAATGCTGTTTTGGGAAGAATAAAACTAAACAGGAAAGCTACTACTGGGGTTTTGTTCCCAACAAATATCTGAACAACTTTAGTCAGGCGTCTTCTCAATCATATCTAAGATTTGTTCATTTTCTGTTGGGATTTAGGAGCCATATTCATGCCAGGACTCTCACACACACACACACACACACACAACTGTGGACAGAAGTGGCGACAATACTGCTGAAAAGGGCCTACAAAGAGGACTCGGACCCGACATCACTGCAGTGACCACAGGAGCTGGGGAAGAAGGAAACCACGCACTGCTTTGAAGCAACAGAAATTGCAAAAGGAAACAACTGGCGATTTTAAAATGTGAGACGTATAATTTCTTTACAAGGAAAAAACAGTGATGTTGAAACAAAGGGCAAACACAATAGACAGGGAAACAGAATTAGAAGAAACAAATGTAAGGGAAAGAGCAAGAACTATACTGGGAGATACACGAGCAACAAAAATAAAATAGGCCCTTCGCAGAGAGGAAGCACAAATCCACAGAGAAATGTTCTCCTTCAGAGAAGTGAAGCGAATTCAAGAAAATCGAAGAACACTTCTATTAAATTAGCAAAACATTTTTTAAGGATCAACCTAAAATTGGTGAAACTGGGATATTTAGGCGCTGGCCAGTGGGACTATAAATGAGTGTGATCTTTCTGGCACACAAGACTGTGCGGCAGCACTGTGCTGGGCCTACATGTCCAAAATCTTATACTAGTCCAAGAGGTTAAGGAAGCTTCTCAGGGCTGCACAACCAAGACTCAAAGTCAGGCTCAACACATCCAAAGTCCAGGTACTTATTATCTATCCAACTTTATGATTTTCCAAGGACATTAAAAAAAAGAAAGAAATCGCCTGTGTAATCTCCCATAACTTCAATGCTGGAAACTGTTCCAAGGAAAATGTCAAAAATAACCAAGTTTTGCAGAATTTCACTACAGTGCTACCTTAATACTTTCAGAGAAAAATAATTCTATCACTATCCTATAATTAGACAAGTCAGAGTAAATCAAGTTGTTAGAATAGTGTATAGTTTATAAAGGAAATTCTAAACAATATATAGAGACATGATTTATATTTGCTTTCTGCTAAGACTCAAGATTATATATATATATTTTTTTAGTTTCTTTTTCTTTATTGATTTTGAGAGAGAGAGAGGGAGAGAGAAACAGAAACATCGATGAGAGAGAACATCGACTGGCTGCTTCTTGCATGCCTCCCACTGGGGATTAGGCCCACAAGCTGGGCATGTACCCTGACTGGGAATCAAACTAGTCACCTCTTGGTGCATGAGTTGACGCTCAACCACTGAGCCAGGCCGGCTGGACTCAAAATTATATATTTAAAATAAAAAAAAACAGGAAAGGAAGAAAACTTACAAAATTTAAAAAATGTTAGTGTCGGTAGGCTCATTAACACTGTGTTCTATCATGTCCTTTAATACTGTTGACATCTTTTTAAACAACAAATGAGACTAGTGATGGGAAAATATCAAGTTGCTCTCTATTCAATGGAATACTACTCACCATAAAGAGGAATAAATTGTGTTATGTGAATGAGTGAAAGAAAGCAGATACAGGACAATACATTCCGTGAGATTTCCTTTACACAAAAGTCTAGAAAAGACAAATCTATACTATGTAGAGTGACTGAAAGATCAGTGGTGTCCCAGGGCTATGGCGGGGTAGCTGGGATTGTCTGGGAAGGGGCGCAAGGAACTTTTAGGGTGTAGAATTGTCTTTTTTTTTTTTTTTAATCCTCATCCAAGAATATTTTTTCTATTTACCATCAGATAGAGTGGGAGGAAGGGAGAGAGAGACAGACACATCAACTGGTTGCCTCCTGCATGACCCGACCAGGGCTGGGGACGAACTGCAACCAAGGTACGTGCCCTTGACCAGAATCAAACCCAAGACTCATTAGTCTGTGGGCCAACACTCCAACCACGGAGCCAAACTGGCCAGGGCTAGAATTGTCTTTTATATTGATTGTAATTGTAGGTACATGGTGATTGTAATTGTAGTTACATGGGTGTGTAAATTCAAAATTCATTGAAATGTATACTTTAAATGGGAACATTTTATTTTATGTACATTATATCTCAATAAAGTTGATTACAAAAAGTAAAAAGACCATGAATTATTTAACCAAGAGTGAGAACATTCATTTCATGGGTATAAAAAAAAATTGATGCAAAAATAAGAATGTATTAGTTAAGTGTTTAATCAATACAAAAGGCGTATGGAAGAATATTCAAATTTACTTATTCTAAAAGCAAAGAAATATGGCTAAGACAGACTATTATGTTCAAGACTTTAAAACAGTGGTATCAGCAAAATCATTATAAAGCACCTATGCTGTGCAAAAGTTAGTATTTCCTTTCTCTATGACTAAAGTTTTCCTCATATCACAAGACATGTTCAATACTAATTTATAAAAATGTTCTAAAGTTGTTATAGGCAGTTAGACAAACATGAGCAGAGCAAGGACAGTGGGCCAGGTACAGAAACTCACCAGGGCAGAAATCCCCAGATGCCTAGAGCAAAGGGCAAGACTGGGAAAACAAAAACCTAGGCCCCAGGGTAACCTTTCCTCCCCTAGCATATCACGGCCATGTGGTTTGAACTCCTTGACTTTCCATATCGCTGGTCATGCGGTTTAGACCCCCGACCTTTTCTTCCCTCAAGATAACATCTAGGCCTCAGTAGCATTTCAGCTCCAGGCCCAGAAAAGCAGCAAAACCTGACAAGCGACGCTGTGGCTGCCCCAGGACCAGCTGCACTGACTAATGACCCCCTGCACTGGCTCCGACCAATCAGCAGAGACCAGACCCTGAAAGAACACACCTGGAAAGCCGATAAATATTCTATTGAGACCCTCCCTGAGGCCTCTCCTCAGATTCCCACTTGTGGGAGAAATAGAAATACCCTCGACACAAAGGACCCAGAGTGTGCTCTCCCCCAGGGGAGCACGCCAGCACCCTTCTCTTCCCCCTTCTTCCCTCCAAGGGACCCCAGGAGACCCGCAACCAGGGGAGCAATGGGCCGCAGCAGCTCCTCCCGGGCTAACCCCCTGAACCTGTCTCCGAGGCCTCCTTTTCTGACTTCCCAGTGAGCCGCCGCAGCCCAGCCTAGGTCTCCTGCTGCTGCTTCTACGCCCTTCCTGTTTCACCATCTTGAGTGTGTTTTTGCTGCGGCCAATACATTCTTGCTTGCTTTTCTATCCTTTCTCTCTTGACTGAAATCTTTCCTTCAAGAAGACAAGAACCGAGGTCTTGTCATCTCACTGGTAACAAGGTCATCTTAGAATGATCACAGAAATGAAAATCTTCTCGGTTTAAGTCACCTACCCAGACTGTAAACATCATTGGAAGAAACAAGATTTTTTTTAAGTTTTTTTTTTCTTTATTGATTTTTAGAGAGAGAGAGAGAGAGAGAGAGAGAGGAAGGGAGAGGGGGAGAGAGAGAAACATCGATGAGAGAGAACATCCTGCCTCCTGCATGCCCCCCACTGGATCAGGCCCACAACCTGGGCATGTGCCCTGGCCAGGAATCGAACTAGCGACCTCTTGGCGCAGGGGTCAGTACTCAACCACTGAGCCACACCGGCCGGGCAAGAAACAAGATTTTTGAAAACTAAGTTTACAGTAGCAAAAAATTTCAAATGAAAAATATCAAAAGATGCCCTATGAAAAAAATTATTGGTTAAGTTGTGAGAATACATACTAAGATTAATATGGAGATACAAAAGTAGATGGATAAAAATGTGCTTACTTCATTAATAAATTTGTGACTTCTTCACTTTCAAGTCCAACTCCAAGTGAGTTAATTAGTGAGGAGTGTGGTGATAAGTGGTAATTGCATTAATCACACCATAGGGTAATTTAATAGCTGTGACCAATTATCACATGTGGGTGTGGGTGCCAAAAGCTGCTGGCCAGAGCCTCCATCCATTGTCTCCCACTGTCCTGTTTACCGCATTTTTAGTAGCAATCCCCACCCTTTTGGCAAGGGTAGCACTTTAAGGTTTATTATAATTATCTTATTTTCTCAACAATAGGGCTCAAGACTTAAAAAAAAAAAAACCCTGGGAAATTCTCAGTCCAGTTTAGAAGCGCTACACAGCAATTTAGCTATAGAACTGGCACAGAGTTATACCAAATATTTTCAATAAAGTCTTTATTAAGCCCATAAAAATTAAATGTTTGCGAAAGTGTGTGAGGCGATGGGGGGAGGGGTGTGTGTGTGACAAACACGTGATACAGTCCCAACCACTGGGACTATGGAAGC